AATGATTAGCTTAGTATAAACCAGGGTTGCGAATATTTTTATAACTTTTTTGATGAAATATACTTTGTTATAAATTAAAAAGAAAAAAAAAAAATTATTAAAATTTATGGGATTAATTTAAAAATTAAATTTTTTTATTTCATTCCTTCATTTGGGGTTAAATAAAATATTATTTTTAATCAGAATTTTCAGATTTTATTTGCAACCCTGCCCGAAAGTTGACTGAAACTGGTTTTAATCTTTCATAAGACCCCAGAACTGCTAGGGTATCGCATAAGGTGCAGCAGTGATTTCTATCACGACCTGTGGTCTTGTTATTATATTTCAACAAACAATATATAATAACTTAGAGCTCTCTGTATATAGCGAGCACGTGAACATTGAATTGCTTAGGAGTTAATGGAAATCTTCCCGACAAATGCATGTTGATAGAGCAACAAATAGCGACTACAGCCATATGTAGAGTTGAAAATCATTGGAGGTTGGCACATAAACCAGGAATGAACTTCTACTGCGCATGCTTTGGAAATTCATTCAGAAATTTTGGCGGTATTTCTGCTCTCTGTTGACATTTTTCAACAAACAACAAGCTCAGCGGCAGGTATGTTATCATAGCAGAAGAGCTAGGCGAATAATGACGACCAACGAAGTGCCACGAAAGCGATATTGCATTCGTCCTTATTAGACTGCACGAGGACATAAATTCAGTCAGTTATATTTCAAACGTGCCGGCGTGCAGATCATATGTATTGCGGGAAAGTGGCTTAGGCATTTACCGAATGGTCAATTTATAAATTGCATTTATGAATTTATACGCGCCAATATACATTAGTCACAGCTACATATGTATATACAACGGTGTCTGGGTACATAATTATTGTGTCGGATGACGCGTGTTGTGTATGAAGAAGTTTGTGTATGTATAAACAAGGCTGTACAAATTGTTGCTTTACCTTTGACGGGGCACCGGGTGTAAAACGCATGTGTGTGTATTGATGTGAGATTAAATGCGTAAATAAATTGAATTTAAATACTTCCGCCATTAACCTGTTGGGCGGGAGGTTACAAAGCCACTGTGAAGACGAAGTCGCTCCAGGGCTTTATAATGCAGACAGCTAAGGAAATGAAACAGACAAGCAGACAAAGCGGAAACGAAAGGAGCTGAAAAGGTATAAGCAGTGGCGTTAGGTACCCGAGTCTCTCGAAGAGTGCTGCAAACAGTTCTTAAATTCAAGGAAAGTGAAAGCAAAGAATAATGAAATTTCGCTAAATTTGTAGCAGATTAAAGTAGAAGAGAGAAATTTCAAACATATCCATTATAAAAAAAAAAAAAAAACTTGTTCCACTGATAAAAGAGATAAAATCAAGTAAAATACAAACAGTGTCGCATGTAATTGTTTGCCGGTGTTATCCAGATTTCTGCCTACGTCTCGCCTCGTCTGTCGGGTCAATAAAATGGAAACGCGTTTGCAAGCTCTGCGCTAACGACTGTCTGGGGAACGTGGGCGTGCAACACATGGAAATTGCGCGGCATACCAACAGATGCAGAGGGCATGATAAAATGCGCGCGAAAAAATTAGCTTTAATATAAGCAATGCTCAACTGAATTTAAGTTGTGTTGTTAGAAAAGGGCAAAACAGCAGTGTAAACGACAACAGTGCCAATAACAAGTTTAAAGAGAAACACCATGGTGTATTTTATGGCGTTATGATTTAGCAAGACGGTTTGCCACCAAATACTTTCATTGATGACAATTTGTCGAATCTCAAATGTATCTTTAAGCAAACATTATATCGACTGCCAAATATATTAGCCGTAAATATTTATTAAATATAGCTTCAATAGCTAATTTTTTATGTTACCGACTATGTTTTTCTCTAATAATTATATACAATAATAATGATATTTCAGCCCAGAAGTAAACAAATTTCCGATTGTTCGAATAAACGCGTAAAGTAGGATACTCTGATTTTCAAGGCAATCTAATATTTCTAATAACTAAAACTAAAGGCCATTTTTAAGGAAGGATAATTTAGAGTTTATATATTAAAACAAGGGAAAATATAGAGTCGGTAGTAAGGTGCCGACTATATCTAGTCTTCCAGTGTTTTTCAGACCTGAAACATTTCCTACAAGGTTTTAAACCAAAATGAGCAGGACGCTGACAACGCAGGATTAGTCAATGTTTACCGCGTAAATCAGTAAATATGCAGTAAGCAAGTAAACTTCTTACACATGTAATTCAAATTGAAATATTTCAATTTAACCTAGATGCGTTATCTGAGTGACAAGATACCTGCTTCCAAAAATCAAACAGTGCAAGGTAGAGAACATTTTATTTCGGTTATGTAAGCAATTAATGCGGTACATACTAAAAAAAGGACACAAGCTGTAGGTATACCCTATGCAGGCGCCAAAGTTTTGACATGCGTTAATTTAAAACATCTGCTGATGAAAATTGAACAATGGAAGTTGTTTTGTGAAGTGAGTTCTACGTTCTCGCGCATTTACAGATACGAAAAAGTGAGCGCCGTGACACTCGCCATCGGCGAAATCACGTTCAAATCCTTCAAAGCTTCGTAATGTTGATTTTAACGCAATTTTTTCATTTTCGTTAATTCTTTTATAATTTTCTTTAATTTTTTTTTTCATAGTGAATACGAAATAAGTTAAGCAATAAAACGCGGTGGGAGCTATTTGCTGCATAAACCACAATTGCCAGTGAAAAAATACTTGTGTTATTGTTCGCAGCGTTTTACCGTTATTTTCTTTAATTCTCACCAACGCATTTTCGAAGCATTGCTGTACAGCATTGAAATGTACAATGTGCGACAAAAACTGCAAATACAATACAAACAAAACCAGACGGTGCACCAGCGGTGGCAAGAGCAACAACACCATCAGCAGCTGCACATGGATGTTTAATCTTGTGGCGGTTGCCTTATTAATCCAACATGTCGCCTGCGCTGCAACAGCTATCGAGGCGACAACACCGACAGCCCTGGCGCTGTCAAAGGCGCTCACCGATTCCCTACCATCCGCATTTGTACCCACAGCCCAGCTGCTGAGGCGCCATGGCGATAACGGTAGCAGTAGCAGCAACGAAAACTCACCCACACAGGCTGATTCTGGGAGCCGCGCTACGAGCCGCCACCTCAGCGCCATTGAGTCCACCGTCGGCGGTGTCAGCAGTATCGTTGCCGGCGACGATGGTGTGGATTTCGCTGCCTATGCAAATGGTGAGTCTCATGCAAATCCATATACATATACATATATACACATGCAAAGTGCAAACAATATCACATATACCCAAGCAAATCGGTAGTTGCAAACCGTGCATTTTCAGTGGATTTTTGGTGAGACTCTTTGTGAATTTTACACTCGCTCGTCTTACACGTTCGCCAGCCAGCGCACACACTTGTGAACACTTACACTTTGAAAAGTGCTCACAATGGCCAAGGTTGCGAGATGAAAGTGCCAAAAATATGTGTGTGTGTGTGTGTGTGTATTTGGCACGTTTCGTTTTACAAATGTGAGCATTTATGGTGTAGCTATAAATTTTTGAATGGCTTTGTTAGCTTTTGGAGCTGCAAAGTTCGCCGATTTAAAGGAATTTATTACGGCAAGCGTGTGAATTTATTTGCCAGTGTAAAAGAAACGGGACACAAGGTAAGAATACAGTTAAAGATTTATGCAATAAGTAAAGTTTTTTGTTGACTAACTGCCATTGTGGCGGCGACTCAGTACAGTTAACAATTCTCCCGCTTTGAATAGAGGTTGGCGCTTTTTATTTCAAACAGCCGGTAACCATGAGCGCTATGCTTTTTCTTTCCGCTCCATAGGGTACTCATTCCTTAGTTCGAAAGTTCGCACATCGGAAGCGCTACTGTAATGTTATATTTATTTTCCTAGGTTAAAAAGCTTACAAACTCCAAATGTGGATGTAGCGATAGCTAGATGAGTTGGTAATGTAAACGCCTGCAAAACGGTGTTCTTCGAAAACTTCTTCGATGAAAACTAATTGGTTAAATTACTGCTTAAGGAATAGTAATTGTACCGGCAAAGTGGACGCTGAAAGCCGAGCCGAGCGCAAAGCTGCCGGATGCGAGAAATAAACGTCAAAACTGCGTGCGTACGTTATCGTACAAAATCGCGCAGTCAGTGCAGAGTGGAAGATGACCGAAGCCGAACGTAACGCGCGAAAACAGTTTTGAAGCCTTCTTGCGAAGCGACGACTCGCGTACTTGGCGATACCTAAAATATGTAGGCACTGATTGAAATAGCTTTGCGCTCGTCTCGGCTTCCATCGTCTACTTGCACCCTTAACTATGAATTAAAAATCCACTTTTATATAAAATCTCATATCTTCTTCGACGAAGCAGACTTGCACAAATTTTTGTCCACAAGAAAGCAAGAAAAAAATGTTAACTTTGGCTGTATCGAAGCTAATATACCCTTCACAGGTTTTATTTCTTTTATTAACTATGTGTTCAGTTTGTATGGAAGCTTTATGCTATAGTAATCCGATCTGAACCATTATTTCGGAGATTACATTATTACCTTAAGCAGTAATCCGTGTCAAATTTCGTGAAGATATCACAAGTCCCTGATTCCGATCATTCGGTTTGTATGACAGCTTTATGCTATAGTTAACCGGTCTGTCGGTCGGTTTCTTCGGAGATTGCATTGTTGTCTTAGAAAATAATCTGTACCAAATTTTGTAAATATACATTGTCAAATGTGAAAGTTTTACATACCAGAAGTTGATTCCGATTGTTCAGTTTGTATGGCAGTTATATGTTATAGTGGTCCGATATCGGCAGTTCCGACAAATGAGCAGCTTCTTGAAGAGAAAATGATATTTGCAAAATTTCAAAACGATATCTTAAATCGACTCAGCTGAACATACTGATCATTTATATATATACTTAATAGGGTCTCCGATGCTTCTAATTGAGTGTTACAAACTGCGTGGCAAATTAAATATACCCTGTTCAGGGTATAACAAAGAATATACCAAGCCAGTTTGAGTCCCAACGCTTAAGAGATCTTACAATCTGTGGTGCAAATAGTATCTGTGGTTTCTCCTAAACTCTCTCAAAAAGAAGTTTGTAATTCTTTTAACGCCGCTAAAATTGAACGTCTCGAACGTGAAATGAAGCATTTGTTTCGTGCTTGGTTCGATCCATATTTGTGAATTTTATTGAGTAGCAATTTTTTTACAAAAAATAAACATATATGTAAAATCCAACGTTCTAGAAGACTTTTAGCCCAGCTTAGCCGCTGTCTATTAATTCGCTGAAATATGATAGGGAGTCGATTTGTCTGAAACCCCTCGTTGTATCGATCGATAACGATATTGCTTAACGTCAATTTACATATACGTAAGTTTTGCGGGGATGCTAAATTCAGACATACTCGTAGTGGTATAAAAGCAGCTCTTTTTCGTGCTGTCAAAAGCAGCTTTGAAATCGACGAAGAGGTGGTGAGTGTCGATTTTCCTTCGCGGGTCTTTTCCAAGATTTGGCGTATGGTGAATATCTCGTCAGTTGTTGATTTTCCAGGTCTGAAGCCACACTGATAGGGTAGAATCAGTTTGTTGACGATGGGCTTTAATCTTTCACACGACAACAAGCATGCATACCCAGCGGTAAAGCCACGCCACTGCCAACAACATACGCAGTGACGCTGACGCAGTCTTCCGTGATCCGGTATCTTTACGCGGCAAAGGTGGTTGAACAGGACATCACCAGAGTAGCACGCGAGTATCAACGCGGACAGAGTCATTGAAGCCTACACGAGCGCCGGCAGAAGTAGCCAGTCGTGGCACGCGAGAGTCAACGTATACGCCAGGACATCGTCTTCAAAGCATACAGGAGCGCCGGCAGAGACAGCCGGGCGCAGTCGCCGTAGCGGAGGAGCGTCAATACCGCCAGGACACCGTCATTGAAAACCTACACGAGCGCCGGCAGAAATAGTCGAGCGTGATCGTCGTAGCACGGGAGCGTCAACGCACGCCGCAGGATATCGTCAGCGGAGCCTACGTGGGCGCCGGCAGAAGTACCCGAGCGTGATCGTCGTGATGCAGAGCAGAAAGTCGTCTAGACCCCAGAAGCGCAGCAGAGTGGAAAGCGGTACTGCCCTAACGCGCCACACTGAACCGTTACCCTGACAGCACTTTCCTCGGGCGACGACATTACAACGCGGGAGACGATTTTGTAACTTAAATTAAAATTAGATTATAGAATAAAATAAAGTACGATTCGCAGACAAGCCCCAGTATTTACAAATTTGTTGTAACAAACGCTGGACGCGGCGAGTATACCTCAGCAATTTATACTTGTAAGAAGCAGGGCAGCAAAAAGCTTCGTTTCAGTACGCTTGATAGAACGATATATGCGATGTTGAGGAGGCTTATTCCATGGTAGTTGGTACAGATTATGGGGTCTCCCTTTTTGTATAATAGATTGATCGAACATGCTTAAATTACAATTGTCGGTCATGCTTTCGACCGACCATATTCTACAAAGAAGCTGATGCAAGCTCCTTATGAGTTCTTCGCCCCCACATTTGAAAAACTCGGTCAGCAATCCATTGCCCTTCCGTTTTGTTCTTCTCCAGAAGGTTAATTGAGATTCGAACTTCTTCATGGTCGGACAATGGGATGTTCTTCTTCCATTATTTACCATACGTGTGGGACACATCTCGAGTTTACAGTTTGCTCCAGTTTTTCCAGACAAATAGAATTCAATGGGATAACTTTGTAAGAATGAATCTATGGAAACTTTTGGAGGCCTTTGCTTGTACATGTTATCTAGTCCGGCTTCAGCGCTCCTATAAATTCAAGGCTATCCGAAGATTTTACTCCTTTCTATAGTGAAGTCCATATTATGTGAACCCAGTATCAAGTTAAATAAATAAATATTATTTTGCATCTAGAAGTGGTTAAATTTTTGAGAACTCTAAGGTTAGAGTTCGATGCAATATAATTTTACATTTACCATGACGTTGGGAAGCATAATTGCGATTAATTATTTTATCTCAATATTAGTATGCCGCTTGTAATATATTCATAAAACTGCTTAAGTCTAACTTTGCTGGTATTCTTTAATCCTTTTGGAAGATTAATAATTGAAGCAACAACACACTCCGCGCATAGAATTCGTGATTGCATCAGCATGAGGAAGGCATATCAAAATTAGCTCAGAACAATGCTGCGCAAAGTGGCGTGAAAATAGTCATCTCATGCACCCATTCGTGCCATGAAAACGAGCAGCCACATTGAGTTTCTGTATCTGCAATGCGGGTATTATTTGCGATCTGACTGCGACCTGAAATTATCGCCACTCAATTTGCATATTGACAACTGCTAATTCAATTTCAGCGCAAACTACTAGACGCATATAAAAACCTCCAACATTGCAATTTCAAAACAAATACGCTGGCGACAATGGCAAATGTGTGGCCAACAGAGCGTATACGCAACCTGCGCGTTCAAAACAAATCAATTGTATTTGCACATACACACAATATGTATATATATGTATACATAAACATGGCGATGCGCAGTTTGAGATGCTCATCAATATTGAGCACTCCCGTTGCAGCGTGGAATGTGGCTGATATATTCTAATTAGTACAATTTTGTTTACTTTTGTCGAAAGATGCAAATAAATATTACGGCACTGATGCAGTGCAGGCGTGCACTTAAATCTCATCGAAGAAAATTTTAATCACTGATTTAGGTGAGAACCGAGCTTACTGAACCGAAAACTTTTAATAAATAACCTTTGCGGTGTACTCGTACACCTATTGCAATGGATTAGCGCCGTGTGATAGTGACCTTAAAATGCAAAACACCAAATCAGACGAAGCTAAAAGCATGCGGATATGTGCGTATGGCTAGGTGAAATAAAAGCTTAACCAAATACGAATTCGGTGGCTCCATCAGTGGTCTTAACACTTATTTTGAGTGCATTGTTACCTTCACCCGGCTGAACAACAAAATCCGCCAACACACAGTGTTTCCATTAGCAGGCATAATTTAAAATTGAATTGTTAGTTTAAAGTACCCCATTTAGAAGCGAATTTTACACAGTGTAAGATTTTGATAAACTTGGCCCTTGAAGAAATGAACGGTATTAAAGTTTCTCATAAAAATTACATCTCTAAACTGGAATAAAACATAAAATAAAAAAATATGCGAAATTCATTAAGGAATTTATAGGAAAAGAAAATA